AACCCTCTGCACAAAAACCAATGAGACGTAACGTTATGAATTTTAAACACCTCGATGTAAAACGTACCAAAATATCCACTCAGAACAATAATGTTCACATATCTGCATTCTACTCGAAATATGTCGACACACACACACACACATCCGAGCACAATACCGTACATGAAACAATGCTATCAAAGCACTATCGGAATTTCACAGAACCGTTTGACAATTACATAGATGAAATCCCTTCCTGGATTCACTATTCACTAAGAAAAATGGTGCAGACATTGTAATTACACATGTTCACGGCCGATCAGCGTTGAATGATGGACAATCAATGCTTTCTGTCTACCCACACCTCCCTTTTAAGTCGGCGCCACACCCGACTTCAAAACATACATAAAATATCGTAATTACCACATAAACTTCCATTACGGAATCAATCAGAAATAGACAATGAGACGAAAATATAGAAAGACCAAACACTTGTACAATGTAGCTGTCAATGTTGAGATAAATAATTATTTTTTAAACTATGTTTAGTTTAAAAAAACCTAGTTCAACCCACTCTATATCTTACAGGTAATTTTACATTCTTTTCTTGCTGTTAATATTGTTAGTCTAAATTTAGATATATCTTAAAGTTAATTTATTGTTAGTATTGGTTAGTTTGCATTCTATAAGAACCCCTATTGGGTAAAGGCCTCCTCCATAGCATTCCACGTGTCTAGTCGGTTAATTAATATACTAAAACCTTTTCCTAACTAGATATAGCAAACGCTTTTCTGAAAACTGCATCAATATCAGTTCAGCCAATGGTGACATAAACGCGCACAAACATACATACAGAGGCCTTAGTACGAGTTTAATTTACGTTTAAAGTAATCGCAACGAGTACGCGTTCGGCACTCTGATTGGCCACCGCCAATGAACCAACCAATCAGAGCGCCGAACACGTACTCGTTACGTACTAAGGCCTCAGGTCAAACTGAGAACCTTCTTTTTTGAAGTCGGTTGATAATGTTTCATATTGACTACGTTTCCATTAGTACTTACAAGAACCATTTGCAAAAGTATCAGTGTCCTTTTTAACGGTATTAAGACAATTATCACCAACTTACTGTTAATCAAACAACAAATCCAAGTTAATTAAATTTACAACATGAAATCGTTAAAACTCATTAAAAGTATATAATAATCATGTCTAGAACACCAGCGGGCGACGGCTCACGGCCTGACTGCCTGAAAATTGAATAAAATTACAAATCACTGAAGTAATTTAACTTTCTGACGGCAATTGCCGGCCTAATAGGAGGCTCGGCCGCTTAACTAAATTACTCTAAAACCTCTCGAACATTTAATTTATATAATATAAAGACAAATAAACTAACTTCAATTAATATTTAATTAAAGCAACGTGATGTACCGGTGATCTTTCGCAGACATGAACAAAAGTAATTTGGTCCTCATAAAGTCTACTTCGAAACGTTAATAATAAGATTATGAGTCTGAACCGTTGTTTTGCTTCAGCTTTAACTATAGTGAGTTGAAGGTCTTTGTTTTTTTAATATTCGAGACTAGTTTCTGCCAGCGGCTTCGCCCGCGATCCCAGGGGTAAAATGCCTATGTATCACTTCAGACCATAATCTACCTCTGTTCCGAATTTCATTCCGGTCCCTTCAGTCGTTTTAATATGACTGAGTAACAAACATACACATAAACTCACATATTTTCATTTTTAATATCGAGTCAAGCTAATTTCAATCATTGGCCTTTCAGTTACAGCGTAAAGTCTATGAATCAGTATTGTAAACGTTAGAGTAGACAAATACAATCAGAAATCACCGAATTGCTAAGCTATCGGGAGTTTCACGTGTTATTGTGAGTCAACCATAAAAGATAGACATATGCTGTCCAGGAATATTTTTTATATAATTTTAAGAAGAATATTTCCGTCATACATGATTTCTATGCAGCTTTAACCTATAAGCCTGCACACGCGACGGAAGCTTAAAAATGGAGTAACTTCTCCCGTTTTCCCAATATTTCCCTTCACTGCTCTGCTCCTATTGATTGTAGCGTAATGAAAAGTATACTATAACCTGCCCAAGAGTATGAAAAATAATTGTGCCAAATTTCGTTAAAATCCATCGAGTAGTTTTTGTTTCCATAACGAACATACAGACAGACAGACAGACAGACAAAAATTTTACTGCTTGCATTTTTGGCATCAGTAGCGATCCCTAACCACCCCTTGATAGTTATTTTTTAAATATATTTTATGTACAGAATTGACCTCTCTACAGATTTATTATAAGTATAGATTATAGGAATGTGCTAATATTGTTTGTTAGCTTGTTCTGTGATTCATTGATTTGTTCTACTGACTGCCTCGTTGGCCGAGTGGTTACAAGTGCGACTGCCGGGCAAGGGGTCTCGGGTTCGATTCCCGGGTCGGGCAAAATATTACTGGGTTTTAAAAAAAAATCTCATTAGTGGCACGGAATTTGGAACTGTGCCCGGTATATGGCAATAGGCTCACCCCCTATTACAGGGGACTCATACATTAATAGTGAAAAGTGGGTGTTACATTGTACAGTGGTATAATGTGCACCTCTGCCTACCCTTTCAAGGATAAAAGGCGTGATGTTATGTGTGATTTGTTCTAATAAATTGGTACTTTGTTGTCATTTGATTAAGTCCTGTCAACGATAAAATCAAACAGCTATAGTTATTATGTCCCTCATGAATTAAATTATCTTTGCTACAAAGTAAAACGGACACCTGTACTCCACCTAGCAGTGCATTATATGATATGCTTTGACGCAAAGCAATGTAATAATAAATATTAATATCCAAAAGCACTCAGTACATATCCTTAACGTATATTAGTTTATTGATCACGTGTTGTTGGTCTATGACCCAGTTTACTGCCACATTGCTTATTTATTATATCATCCAATCAACTTTTGTCAAGTCGAAGCACTTGTACTTTGACTTTGACTGACGCGGTGGCTTGGCAACCGGCTGCAGCGGGTTCGAATCCCGCACGAATCAACTCTTTGTGTGATCCACAAATTGTTGTTTCTGGTCTGGGTGTCATATGTATGTGAACTTGTATGTTTGTAAACACACCCACGACACAGGAGAAAGTCAAGTTGTGGAGCAAAGTTATTTTTTTTAAAACTACTGTTTTATTTTAAAACTAGTGAGTACACTATACCGTTCAATTTAAAAGAATATTACTTGAGCCATTGAATCCTTCCTGGTGAGTACAAATAGGAGGTACAGTCAGCACAGTTATTAGGTACTAGCTGGGGCCCGCGATTTCGTCCACGTAGCGTAGAATATGATTCCTATGTTCTCCCATGGGAGTATTGAATCGGGATGAAAGAAAGTCCGCCCATACCCTGCCTGTATACTAAATTTCATCAAATACCGTACAATAGTTTCAGTGCGATTGACGGACAAACATCTAAATAAACAATTTTCACATTTATAATATGTATTAATTAGTGTAATATGCAGGTAAGAAAATAAAGATAGGTTTAATATAGATACAGTAACCATGGGTTGACTACTGAACCGACCTATAGTTACAGGAGATATGGCTTCGTCATTTACAATTTAGTATGACAACAGCCAATACTGTCTCTATGCCAAATTATTATTCAATTTCTTAGCTCTATACTAATTAACTTTGTTCACTATACGTTCATATTGCATAAAGATGATGCCCAAAGATGTTCTCTGTTGCATAAAGCCATCTCGCTTAAGGAGAAGTTTTCCATAGTCCTCACATCATATTACCTATCTTCATATTACCGAAAATATAAAGAACTAGCTTTTACCCGCGGCTTTGCTCCTGTCACAAAACGATAAAATGCCAATGTGACTACAAAAAACTACAAATCCATCTCTTCAACTACCTTCAGTTAAAAAATCACATTAATTAGTACCTCTGTTTTGTCGTTTAAGACAGGCATACTAACAAATAGCTTTCCACCCGCGTGATATTCGGTTATATCGCGCTTTTTAGAATTAGTAGGTAATCCGTTGACTTGTTTTAAATGACATACAGCGCCATCTATACCAATATTTTTGTTTTCCCTCGGTAATATAAATTTTCCGGGATAAAAAGTACCCTATTATTTAATCCGGACTTCTAACTTTACTTCGGTTACAATTGGTTTAGTAGTTACGGCTTGAGCGGAACTTACAAACAAACTCACTTTCTGATTTATCATATTAGTAAGGATGCTGTTACCTACTCCTTGCTCAGTAACTAGTCGCATTTTACTGACAACTGTATACTATGTTGGTATTTTCAATGTGACTGAGAAGAAAAACCTCCGTTCAACATTTCATTTCATTTCATTCCTTATGAAAACTATTCGGAGTTTTCTAGTATTTTTTTTTTAGTGTAGCTTTACTGTTTCTAATGAAATTGTTCACGGAATTGTACAGTTTTCGTTCCCACAGGAATTTTGGCAATTCTTTCTTCACTACTTTCATTAGTTGTTTAAAAAACTTTTCTTTAAAAATTGCTTTCTTTAACACCCAGCTACTTGAGTTGTTAGAGGTAGTTTATCAAATTAAATAAATCTCAGGCTAGGTAAAACTGCCTATTTTTTTTATCAAAGTTTGGCAAATATTTTTTCCTGCTTTTAAACAGTAAAAAAATTCGGTTATAACATCAAGTGGATAATTGCTGTTTAGAAAGAGAAATTAAAAAGACATTTTAAGTTTAAATGTGCACATATACTTAAATGTAATTTGCTTTTCTACCGCTACTTTATCCCTACTTTTAAGCCTAATCGTCAATATTCCTTTCGTAGTTTATCTATTTAAGATGTTCGAAAATGTTATGTTTCTCTTCTTATATTTCCTGAAAATCAATATATTACGAGAACTGACTCCAATCTGTCCTCTACAACCCACGGGGGTGGTTTCAGTTAGGCCCGTTATCAGAAAAATATTTTACTAATGAAACTTGTTTCTTCTGCCACACAGCAATGATGCGGCGCGGTTCGATGGCTATGATCGGCGGGGGCGAGCCACTGATTGTGGTGGAGGAAAGTGGCACAGAGGACACAGATTCCTCTCCCCACTCCTCAGCGCCCACCCGTGGCCTATCCGTGGACCAGGAGTCTCCGCCAGACCCATACCATCTGTCACCATGGCGCGACACCCGCAAGCACTCCCTGCCGACGCCATCTTGCACCACTGGACCCACTGCCAGTCAGGTTGGTAACAGAACACTTCGGCTCTAGTAGACAAATAGTAAATAGTCTTATTATTTTATTTATTTAGACTTAATTTTGTTTAACAAAATACAATTATGTAGATAGAGAAGTCTATTAAATATGCATTTTCCCAAGTTTATCAGATGTTTGTGTTTTCTTTACAAAATTCTTTATATTTACTTTCCCTGTGGTCGCTTGCGCCATTTACATGCGAATATCATTTAATAATGGCCGACTGCTAACTTTGTCAATTGTACACCTATGTCTAATTACTCACCGTCATCAGCTGCCGAAAATACAAATACAAAGTAATCTATTTGTGGTCTAATCAGTCATTACTTATTATACCTATCTGTTATATTAATTTAACTCAACTAATCACGTGTTCCGAGTATTTAGTAGTTATTGCACGATGCGACCTTTTCCCAAAATAACGGAGCATGTTGGTGAAATATTATATCTATTGTATTCACTATTCGATAGGTACCTTTGCGGCTCAGAGCGTAACCACCATTTTGGCGAAATATGGATTTAATATTATTTATCCGATGATTCAATTCGTGGAACAATTTCAAAAGATAGGAAATTCACGAAAGCTTAATTAATTAAACAATTTCCATAGTAGGCCTGCTACATATTATAACATAACGACTCTTATTCCACGAAGGACAAAGCAGAAACTTTTTATATATTTGTCGTTGGACTTTAATTTTAAATTAGGATATTTTAGAACTTTACGTTAAATCAATTACTTAAAATAATAACATGTTCTATTCCTACTAATACTACCAAAAGCTTTTATGTCTAAATATTACGTAATGCTTACTAAGTATAATTATGTTATTTTTTCCTTTACGCATAAAAATGAAAATTATACTCTTTATATATAAATCTGACTTCAAATTGTTAATGTTAGTAAAAATGTGTGTAGGTAGCAATTAGGAACATTAATTATGAGCATAATTGAAATCTTATATCTAGACAAATAATAATTAAAACAGGCACAAAATAAACATTGTTGGCAACATAATAAACATTGTTATGTTGTGTGACGTCAGGTTCGGCGGCTGTCGGAACGTGGCGAGAGCGCGGCTCGCGAGGCACGCGAGGCAGCGTTCCTAGCAACACTGACTTCGACACAGCCGCAGCCTGGTGGCAGAAGGTAACATTCTTTAGTCTTATAACATGCTTTTGTGTTTGGTATTCAAATATTTTACAGGTTAACGCAGGCTTTCAGTTTTATTTACTTATTCTTCACTGCAACCAAAAATATATAATCATTTGTCAATAACCACTGACTGCCCCAATTCTCCTCAGGACTTTCATCTAAATATTGTTATTACATTCCAATCTCTGACTTAATATTTCTTTCCAGACATTCCGTTGTAACAATATCCCGAGTGCCTCAGGCGCTTTTCGGTCGTGGCCGTCGCGAGTCCATCGCTGCCTTCCCGGCCCTAGCTCGTCGTCGAGACTCCGGCTCCAAGAAATGTGAGAAAACTTGACCGTGTCTTTTTACAATTGAATCATTTACTTTGTTGTAATGAGCTTACACATTTTGCGTACAGCACTCGTTTCCATTGCAGGCCCTCCCGCCACGGACACGCTGGGAAGCACCCACAATCTGCAGTTAGATATTATGGACGATATCGTCCAGGCTCGCAAAGTGCGCATGCGTCTATGGAACACTTCCAACGAAAGAGTCTGTGAAGTCCAACCACTGGACGAGCGCTCCCCAATGAGCGGCTCCGTGCGGTACACCAACCGCGGTCGCAGGCACTCTGACTTTGTCGGCTCTCCTCTGCCTCCGATACCAGCTCGTCGTCGAGCTTCTGAGATGCCACCACCGCCGCCAATACCGCCACGAAGCGGTGCCGGCGTCGGTGTTGTTTGCACCGATACAGACCTACATTTAATGCTCAACGCACTCACATCGTCAGCCACAGAGATCGATCGCTGTGGCAAGCCAGAACGAACTCGACGCCTGGCCGACATGAGGTCGAGCAGTTTCGATGCATCTTCACTGCGAGATAAACCCACAGACTCTGGCACCACCTGGTTTACTCGCAGACACCAACTTTAGCTACGAAGAAAAAAGAAAATGAACCCAAAAAAAGCAAAGTGACTTTTGCTCCAGATTCAAAGCCAGCTCCTGGAGATGTAGCAGCCGTGGTCTGGGACAAGCCCTCCGGATCGGTTGTAGACGCGAGTGCACTTGGCAGTGCCATAGAAGTGTTCCTTAGGAAGAGTTCTGCTGTTGACCCGGGGCCATCAACGTCGGGAACAGTAGCAGTGAAAGAAACGGCATCGAAGCCTGAGGTGCGACAGAAGGCACGCGACATTCCAGCCACGGTCCGGCAGACTGGGCGCCCCGAAGGAGAGCGTTGGTACCCCAACAGGCCCGAGGAGGAGGAGGCGGGGGAGAGCTGCGATGCTTCTCTCTGCACGTCATTAAAAGACCTTTTCGTGTAGACACCACGTGTGTATTTAAACTCTTGTAAAATAAATATACCTTTAGTTGTCGAGTAAAGATTCGTTTCTAAAATACAAAGTGAGAGATGATACGCGGCGGTCCGCGGTGGTCGCGGCCCGCGGCGTATTGATTGTACTTTATGAATCTTTCTATGTGATAGACAACGCGCAGGCGCCGGTCGTCCTGAGTCGACTCACGACCGACGCCTGACTCGCGTAAATTATTTTTAGAGTAAATTCTATTTTCATTGTAAATTTTTTGATATTAGCGATCAGAATATTGACTTATTGTTAGATAGAGAATTATATTCGTAATGAACAGGCGCGCGCTTTCCACGCCGAGTGGCGGTCTCCCACCGCGCGCCTGCCCCTACCCGTCTCGTTCAACAATCTGTGTATTGTAATCCAGTGTTACCATTAAAACAATTAAACTTTATCATATAGCAGACTTTAAAATGGAGACGTCGGGAGAAACGTACGCTTAATAGACGAAGGCGACATTCTGTCGTCTTTGATCAATAAAAGTTTTTATCGATGTTATACTGCATTTTCATTTATTAGTTTAAGTTCCTAATTGTGGTATAAAAAGGGAAAGTTTGGGATAATTTTAGAGGCTGAAGATGGAGGCATAAAACTCGCTGACGCATTACTAAACAAGGGAGAGTCTCGTAAACTCGTAAGTGACAGCGGCACCAATTTCGTAAAGTTTTACGTGATAACTTTTTCAATTACTTGGATAGGTGAGCTTGCTCCAACCGTTTAACTTAAATAAACGTCAAGATATAGTTAATGTCGCCATAACTTTGCCGTCGGAACAATAATTCCTGTCGCCGTTTATCCTTCCAAGTTTGTGATCGATACAGAGATACACCACTAAGTGTTTGCACTGTCTTCTTGCAGACATGATACAATAGCTTCAACATTTAAATTAATCATTAAAGTATTATAATTTATTCTAAGTATATTAACTACTTAGCTTTTGAGTCGATTCACAAGTCGTACTTCTTTCCTCTTTCTCTCTCTTCTATCTTTTCTCTAATAAATAGATATGGTAAAGGGTTAACTACTACTAATTACACTAAACTTACTGAATAGCAGAAATGTAGATACAACTTTATAACATGACACATTCAACACTCAGCTTTCCTCGTTAATATAATAGTAACTAGCTGTTGCCCGCCACTTCATCCGCGTAGAATAATTGACTTCTGGCAGAATTTAGGCTTTTGAATTCGTCTTTATCAAGGGATATTCTACGGTAACGAATGTCGTCAGAATTGATTCAGTACCTAGTATGGGGCTCCTCCCCCTTAGATGATAATATGTAGCCTATATGTTGACCCGACTTGTTAGCAATATTCATGCAAAATTTGAAGTAAATCCATGCAGTACTTTTTGAGATCATCCCGGACATACATACATACAGACAAATAGATAAACAAACAGTCAAAAATTCTAAAAGCCATATTTCTACAATCACAGTACTGTGCTACAATTGGGTAGTTTCCTGGGTCAAAAATAAATTATTTAGATTTTTCAGTCCAATTAAATATTCAAAAATAGTTACACTTCCATTCATTGATTTGCCGATATACTTAATTTTCGATTTATTCTCGCATTTTCTTTAGATATAAGTGTGCTGTTTGACGCGAAAATATGATGACGTTATAAGCTAGTATTTCGTACAAAATTCATAGAACAGTATCGTTTTTGACGTTTCGATAAAAGTATTGAATTTGACTAGTTGTCAACTACAGTATTCCAGACTCTATGTTATTATTGAGAACTATAAAGAAGCGAATTCATTTGGACTCCATTATCAAAAATGACGCCCCTCCTCAGCGATGAATTAACTAGTAATAAATTCACGATATCCTATAAATATTTAGCTGTAGCTCACTTAGCGTCAGTCAACGAGACAGCACTATTATAGTACCAGTCGAGTACGCTTAGAGACACAATTAATTCCCGGAACCGAGTTGACATACAAATTAGCCTCGAAATGGCGCACTTTATGCAATTAACAACGTATTCTGTTTGAAACGTCTCACTTTATCTCCTAACTCGTTTATGGCGTGAAGTTTTACTATGGCGGGTGAGTAACTCTTTGTTTTGATGTCTTTGTTGCTAAATACAGTTTATATGATCGTTGGTATTTATTTTGTGATACAGAGGCCTTAGTACAAGTTTGATTTACGTTTAAAGTATTCGAAACGAGTACGCGTTTGGCAATCTGATTGGCCGGCGGTATGTGCCAGGATCCATATCCTGGCACATACCGGGCGCCGGGCACATTTCCTGACTCCGTGCTGCTACTGAATTTTTTTAAAAGCCCAGTCATACTTTGCCCGACACGGGAATCGAACCCGAGACCCATTACCCGGTAGTCAAAGAACATACATTCAGAGAAGTCTACATTCAGCAGTAAACGTCTTTTAGTTGGTGGGACTGTAAGCGACGGCGCCAGGAGTGGAACGCCTGCCCCGACATCTTGTAGCCGGCGCCTCCGCTCTCGGTGAGAGACATGTCACCGATCCTATCAAGAAATATGACGATGATGATGATGAAATTACTTTAACTAATAAGTACTTAACAACCTAAAGTAATTTCAAGGCGTCACAGCGTCTTTTGTTTCCTAAAATAGGTCAGTGGGTGTTGTAAATAAACTTATGCCGGAATACTGAAACGTTACTCAATTTTAAGTCGTGCTTAAATATCGTGCCATCTCCCTCATTTTACAAAGAATTTGTAGAGACAACTATACTTAAGCGCGACTTAAAATTGAGTAGCGTTTGAGTATTGCGACATTAGTGACTTAATTACGCATTGTGATTGACAGCTAACCTATTTTTGCTGCAACTTCTTACTACTAATATGAGTGTTTCCGAAATCGAAAAATCTACATATTACTTTACCCAACTTCAAAATCGATGTTCATATAAGTATTGTAAGATCTATAATACTAGTTAACATAAAAATATGGGACAACAAAAATAGAAATCTAATTACTATGATTAATGACGAACATTTTTATGACGACATTATTATATATTGTCGAAGCTTTCAAATTACTGTCGATACATAAATATGTACACACACAAATATATGTATGTACATAGATCTAGGCAGGATAATGTCATTCCACAACCACGGTGGCGTGTGATAAGGAAAATGGATACTGTTTTAAAAACAAATCATGTACCCAGACAATAAAGAGGTTTATGCATGTCAGCTAGCTTTATTCCACGTGTTCATGTTTATAATAGCATGCAATGTTATTACTGAGAGTTTTCGAATCAATAAACACAATAATTCACACTTTAGAGGTAATCTTTTAACTATTTGAATTATAATTGTGTTCGATTTTCGGCAATTCAATTCACGGTTTCGTTGGAATTTATGAAATAACTGGCAAAAATTCGAAAGAGGCATGTAAGAATCGTAGCAATTGGCGATCCATAGTCTCTACCTACCCCCATGAGACATAAGGGTAAGGTTATGTATGTACTGGTAAAAATTGTACATATCACCGGAAGATAACAAGATAGAAAGATATAATATAAAACTAAATATAATGTACACAGCCTCGGAGTGTAATGATGTGAGATTTACTTTTGTTAACTTCATTATTTTGCATATTCACCAAAAGACTTGAAAATACCGAATTACCTGACAATTTTCTCGATTACTCATGAATAAGAATTCGCTGTATTCTTTAATATACATTAAGACGACACCACCTTCTATTCTCTGAAAACAAACGGAGTTATCTACTTATAGTTTTCAACATTTACTAACATAATGATTTCAAATGGCATACATATATTTCCCAGATATGATAATTAAGTATTGGGAGTAATTACAAGAAAGGTAGATTGCGGTGTGTATTTTAAATGTAGCACTCACTCTTCATCTCTTTAACATAAGTGTATAAGTATGGGAGAGCCATGCTTCGGCACGGAGCGGCTCGACCGGAGTGATACCACGGCCTCATAGAAAACCGACTTGAAGCAACGCTTGCGTTATGTTTCGTCGTGTGAGTGAGGTCCACCGGAGGCCCAATTACCCTCTCCTTCCCCAATCTCCCCAATCCCTGATTCCCCAACAATCCTCAAACTCCTAATCCCCAAAAGGACGGTAACGCACTTATAACGCATGTGGGTTCCGGGTATCCAAGGCGACACCGATTGCTTATACCATATTAAAAATATGTTACTATTATTACCAATGTCGATTTTGCATTTTGCAATTGGTCTAGGTAGGTAGTGGAACAACAAGTATGTGTGAGTATAAAACTGTAAAAACTATATAAAGGTACATATCAACTTACATAGACTAATTTGACGCAGTCCAAAATGTCATTGATTTTATTTGCTCAACTACTTAGTACATAGTAGTTAGCTAGTCTAGCCACCCAAACTATCTAACAGGTATTTATTCGTCAAATACCAATGTTATTGACGGTTCGATTATGTCAAGTTGTGAAGGTCTTGTGAAGTCAATAAGTGACTGTGTGCGTGACTTCAAACAACACCTGTAAAATAATTACATAGTCTGTAAAAATTATTGAAAACCAATACTTGATTGATACTATACTAATTTGAGTTCGTAGTTTTGTTTTAATGAAACATTAGTGACAGTTTTTACTAATCACCCCTAAACTAGCGCTTAACTAGAAGTCACTTAGCGTGACGTTGCACCTACATTATCTCCTTACTTATATTGTTAGGTGTCACTTAAAGGTAGGGGACAACAAAAATTATGTTAAGTATCATCTATCATAATTTAGGAGTTTCTTTAAATTTAGGTGTGGTAGGTGAAAACGGGTATAAGTATTTGTGGGTTCTTAGTAGTATCCATTTTTATTTTTACTTATTATTCATTTACAGGTTAAGAATGTTAAAAAACTAAAGTAATCTACATATAGATATAAACTAAAATAGATAACTAGGTCTAAGAAAAAATAGGATAAAAAATTAACTAAAATCGCGGGTTACTCA